TAGAAAACAAAATCTTACAATAACTTGCCATTAATTGTGTAACTTATCAGACTTCTGTTTTAATAAAATACAACAAAAAATGTAATCTTAATTTTCAAAAATACTGGTATTTACCAGGTATAATGGTACAATTTCAGCACTAGGGAGGCAGAGACAGGAGAATCACACCAAGTTCAAGGACAGCCTGGGATACACAGAGTTCAAGGCCAGCCTGAACTACATAGTAAGGACCAGTCTCAAAAAAACAAACACAAACAAAAAATATTGGTATTGTTTAGAATATCCTCTACAAGTTGGGGGCCAGAGATGTAGCTCAGTGGCACCATGCCTGCCTGGCAAGTGCAAGGTCAAGTTTGACTCCAAGTACTGGGGGAAAGAAAATGTTATGAAGAATTCCACAACTCAATTAAAAAAACAAAACAAAATGAAGCCAGGCACAGGCCTGTATTCCCAGCACACAGCAGGCTGAGACAGGGGGATTGCTGTGACTTCAAGGCTAACCTGGGCTACATAGTTCAAGACTGGCTTGAATTACATAGTGAGACCCTGTCTCAAAAAAAAAAAAAAAAACACAACCAAATACTGGGCAAGAGATCTGAATACTTTTCTCCAATGAAGATACACAAATGCCAAAATAAGCACATGAAAAGATGTTCAACATTTTTAATTATTAGGGAACTAGAAATCAAAACCAAAATGAGATACCAATTCATATCCACTAGGATAGGCAAGAGTGAGGGGGCACACAGAGAAGATGTGAAAGACAATAATGACAGGAATGCAAAATGCTAAAAGCACCCTGGAACAGTTTAGCAGTTCCTCAAAATGCTTGAAGTCACCATATGACCCAGCAATTCTGTCCTCAGTATAAGAGAACTAAAAATAAACATCCACATAAAAATTTGTATACAAATGTTCTTAGCATTATTCAAAATAGCCAAAAAGTGGAAACCTAAATGCCCAAGAACTAATGTATAGAAACATATAATCTGATATTGTGCACACAATTCGATATTAGCCACTAAACAATAAAATTGCTGGGATATGTTACAACTTAGACGAACCTTATGCTAAGTCAAAGAAGCCAGACAAAAAAGGCCACATATTATATAATTAATTTACATGAAATATCCAGACTAAACAAATTCACAGAAAGCAGATCAGTGGCTACCAAAAGCTTGAAGAGTATGAGTATGGGATTTCTTTTTCTGAGTAATAAAAACGGTAGGGAATTAGTTGTGATATATACACAACTTTGTGAGCAAACTAAAAACCACTGAATCGTACACTTCAGAAAGGTTAATTATCCAAAGCATTACCAAAACAAACAAAAAAGAATTTTAATAGCATGTAAATTATAGCTCAATTTAAAAAAATAAGGATATGAATCATTATACTTAAAGATACTTCCTACACGCAAGAGATGGCTATAAAATGAGCTAAGAGTTTACTGCAGAATCACCCTCAAAAGAATATGTACAAGTGTGTGGAATAATAAAAATAGTTGAAAAAAATTTGCAGGCAGATTAAAAGATAATTTGTACAGTAGCAATATTAGATTTTTAATTTGAAACTATAAATGATAACAGATTTGTTTATTCACATATATTCAGTATCACAAATTCAGATGCCACACAGCAGATGGGTAGACAAGAAAGAGAGGTTCAGAGGTGCATGAAAACAAATCAAGCCCTCTTCTCAATGTTCAGAGCCAGTGTGCAAGCTAGAGAAGAAAACCAATCTCATGTAAAACCAATCCAACATGTAAGGATGGAAATTCGCCTATACTAAAGATATTCAAAGAAAGAATATATTGATAATTTCATGCAACATTGAAAATAAATTTTGTGTGGTGGCATTAAGCATAACCACCAAATGTGCTTAAGAGAATTTTGTCACGTATGGTAATACTACTGTCCCTATCAAAGGTGATTTCTGACACTGTTGCAGTTTCACAACTGAATCCTTAAAGAAACACTCTTCTCCTCAGCTAAAGACAGCACAGCGTTGCCACCACAAGTTGATTAAAGTCTCCACTTCTTGGGTGTAGTGCTGCACACTTGTAATCTCAGTGCAGCACTGGAAAGGCTGAGGCAGGAGGATTGCTGAGAGTTAAAGACCAACCTGACCTATATATTGAGTTCAAGGTCAGCCTGAACTACATAATTCTCAACAAAAAAAGTCTCCTTTTAACTTGCATTGGAAAATTCTACAACCTATTTCTATAAGCCTTTATCACCAAAATGCCCCAATCATACATTGTAGTTTAAAGAGATGACACATGCTTTTCTGCTTTTGCTTATGCTATTTCTCATGAATAGAATGCTTTTTCCATGCTTATCAAAATGAAGCAAAATCTGCCACCTTCTTCCGGAAGCCTGCCATTATCATCTCAAGAGATTTCTTTCACTGCTAAACAACTAATTTGGCTGTACTACCAAACGCCATGTTTCATCTTGTACAATAACTGGATGCATATTTTCTCTAAGGACTAAAAGCTCCTGAAGGTTAGGGGAGTTTCTCCAATCTTTACTTACTATATGCTCGGTAGAAGGCAGATGCTTAATAAATATTTAAATGAACTAAACACTAGCCTACTCCCTTTCATTCCTAAAATCAGCTAAGGGATCATCAGGCAGGTACTCAAAAGTGGAAAGTTCCCACAGACATCAAATAACCAATTCCAAGTATTTAAGGCAGACCATCCTGTGCAGGTCCATTAAAGCTAAAAACTAGCATCATATTCAAACGCTTCCTAGAACTGCTCCATCTACAAGAACATTCGAGAGAATCGGGGTAATTTGAAGCATCTTTCTATAAATCAAGAGATTCATCCCGTTGACTTTTATTAGCCAAGCTAGAGCTAACCTAAAATCACAAACCTCACACTGGAAGGAACTCAAGAATACAACAAAGATGAGGATCAGCAAGCAGTATGTTACATCACATCAGGCAGCAGAGAGAACCTAGATATTCCTGGAATCTGGACAAATCCTATTAGTTCCAGAGGACCCCTTAATAATCACCTGGTAACCAAGTATCCATCTTGATCATAATCACTGTTGGAACACACTATATGGTGAATATTTTTAATTCAAAATGCTCAAAAAGGCTTGGAATGGAGAATTTGGAGCATTTCAGATTTCGGATTTTTGGATGAGGGTTGTTTAATCAGTAAAATCTATGTAAATATTCTAAAATCTGTAAAATTCTGAGATCCGAAGCACTTCTGATCCCAAACACTTCAGATTAAGGGAAACTCAACCTGAAGTAAATCTAATTCAGCCAAACTTAGTCATGGAATCACCACTACCTTCCTCTGTTCCCCAGAAAAGTAGCACGGAAAATTAGACTGAAAAATAACTGAAAATTTATTTTTAATCCAACACTACTATAAATTAAATCATTTAGAACCAAACAACTCTAAAGTATTAAGAAAATCAAACAGGATACTCTACCAGTTCATAAGCAATTCTATTAAAATAAAACAATTATTACATTTGGCAGTAAACACAGTTGCTTTTGTGACTGTATAAGGATCACTGCCAGCCCTTTTAAATATAAACTTAACACCACAACTGATTTACTTAGAACATACCTCTTTGGGAACAAAATTACATACAATAAAAAAGAAAATATAAGGCCCAATTGATTTGAGTTGGGAGACTATCGATATATATTACTGCTCAGATTAAAGTACCACTCTGTACTCTGGACTCTAAAACCTCCTGAACTTTACCAGGAAGGGAGTAATTTGGATTTTAAGTATGCTTTAAGAAAAATGATCAGCAGGATCCAGGATTTAGCGCAGTGGCAACACACCTGCCTCACAAACTCAAGGTCCTGAGTTCAATCCCGGGTAACAGGAAAAGAAAAAAAGAGAAAGAGAGAAAGAAAAGCAAGAAGAGGAAGAGGAAGAGATGAGACAAAAGAAGAGGAAAGGAAAGATCACCAGATTAAAATACTTCAAGAAAAATAATCTAATTTTGACATGCAATTGAGATATTTACATAGGACTTTATTATTCACAAAAATATAAAACACTTTGTCAAGCAGCAATAACCAATACTAGCAATGACTGATTATAAAAACGAAGCCTGAGGCAGAAGGCAAAAATTGAAAGCAAATATAATTTTTAAAAGATAAACAACTCATTAAAATCATCTAGAGCAACATTAACTTAAGAAAACTGCTGGGTTATATTTCTCAATTTCTTTTAAAAAGTAAAAAGCCCTACTGAACAAAACCAATCACTAAGAAAAGTGAAACAAATACAAGAACTAAGTATTCCTCAAAATGACTTTAGCATTTAACATCAACCCATGTTTCTGAAAATCAATTAATTTTATGTTTCTCAAAACTTCCGACTATATATTCTTTATATGATGGTGACAAACACATAATTCAGAGGTGCTTAAATTAATGTAATGTTTTAGCAGATGTATGATAGATTTGAAAGAACAAAACGAGCAGAGACACAGTAAATGATAGCTGATAGCTAAAAGGCTGTTTCCTCTGTTTAGACAGGCAGAATTTTAACATACATTCGCAAAAGAATCACCTATTCGCGCCTTTGTTATTTCTACAAGCACAGATCTTTTAAATGTACTTTTAACCTTTGGACAACCAAAGTGATATAGTATTGTTGCTGTACTAATGTTGTTCCAGTCTTTTTTAAAAATTCACATTATTTATTTTCATTCTGAAAGCACTGCAGAAATAGGAAAGGTTACATTCTCTAAATAAAGGTTATCCTATTTTTCACATGCTTAAAGTTTCAGTATTGCTTTTTAATCTATTATAGAAAACATCCCTTGTGGGACATTGTAAAGGGCAAACCCTCCTGTCAAGCCAGAAGGCTCAAACACAAAGACTGAGCCAACCAAGTGCTGTAATTCTTCCAAACTGAGCCTCTCCACACCCCCTTCACCCTCCCCCCCAGATATGTCTATTAAATCAGTGTCTGTTCTCCCCCTCGCACAACAAAGAGAACTTCTCACCGCATGAAATTGCCGCTGAATGGACACCAGAAAGCAGGATTTGCATAATTCCTTCCAACGAAACCCCGTCGGGAAGGAGGGGATGAGGAGGCCCAAGCGAACAGCTAGAACCTCCCGGATTCTGTTGGGAAAGACCTGGTTCGCAAGAACAGTCTCCATGGGGTGGGGGTGGGGGCTGCCATTCTGGGCCTCCCGGAGGACTGGGCAAGGGGGACAGAGGACGACGAGAGGGCATTTCCCCACACATCAGCAGCAGCACCGAGGCAAAGATGGAGAAATAACAATGCTGAGGACAGAAGTCAGACACAAGGATGGACTGGGGGCGGCGGGCGGAGCAGACACATCACACCGGCCACTTACTTTTCGGAGGGGGATTAAATATATGAGTTAAGCCCTTATGGTCCCGCCGGCCGCCGCACAGAGGGAAACGGGACCTTGGGAGAGAAAAACAGACAAAACACACTGTTGTGAGAGGCGCAGCTTCAGCCGCCCGGCTCCTCCCGGGGCGACCCCGTCCACACTCCCTCGGACAAGCGAGGAAACGCCACCGGACCGAGAGCGGACAAGGCGTATTCCGCGAGGCGGCGGAGGCTCCGGCCAACCCGGGCACGGACAAGAGCGACCCCTCCTCCCCGCCGCGCACACACCGAACACAAATACGCACACACCGACCCGTGCGTCGAGGACGAACTCCCCGGCCGCCGCCGCCCCCCGCGGCCATGACACCCGACTTGGCACGGT